TTTGAGTTGTTCCTCTTTGTCTCTTTGCAGAATCTGTTACCTGCATCTGAAATTGCTCTCTTAATCATCTCTGCCTTTCACAGTTGCTCCAAATTTTTGTTCACATGGCATTTTTACATAGATTTCTAAGTGTAGAACTTTTATATTAACATTGCATTATGGCTGTTTATGTGCCTATTTCTTCTCCCTTGCCCTGGTTCTAGGATTCTCAAACCTAGAGATTATGCCTTAGTCTGACTGGACTTAATTTCAGTATAAAATGGCTTGCCATATAAATACTTAAATTTTATTCTTAACCTTTTATTAATAAGAGATGTTAATATAAGAATATAGAAATAAAGCTCAAAAATCAGCATTAGTTAACATTTTGGCCCAAAAGACTTGAATATACTTGAATCTCAAAACTCCCCACTTAGAAATTGCTTGTGATATGAGACAAAGAATAGTTGTAATTCTTGCCAAATCCCCCAAAACTATGCAAAAAAGATTTTCTCCTAAGAAATTTAAATGATTCCTTTAAATGCAAGTTTTGTCCAAGGTGGTCTAAATTTTTCACTTAGTAGTCTTGTGTTGATCTTTAAAGTAAATTATATTCAGAATGTGGCCTGTACTAATTTCAAAATTAGTTATTTGTGAACAGTGGCATTCTTCCTAAATTTGCTTAATCCATTGCATCATATTAGACATACCACATTCAAAATGACATTACAAAGTATGTTCTAATGAGCTTTGGTCCCATAAAAGAACTTTCAAAAGATTCCAGGATCAAATAAGTTTTAGAAATGATACAAAATGATATTCAGTGCTCCAATTGGAGATTAATCACAATAATTTCTAGAAAGTCCTGCTGTTAAAAAAAGGGGGGGGGTTCCCCCTATTGTATAGATCAGCAATATTTATAGCAGGGTTCACAAAACCTTCAAGATATCTGAAGAGGGGAATGGAGGTAAGCAAGGTTAAGGGTAATCAATTTCCAGATCCTAAACTTCCATGTTTATTTGGTCTTTGCTGATACTGAATTCCCTGATAAAATGGGCCTGAGCATAAACCCACATGCTTAATCTTATTTCTCATCTCCCCTTTCATAATCATCAAAGATGTTAGCAAGGAAAGGTTTCTTTCTAATCCTATGTAGAAATTTTTCTATGATGAAATGCTCCAGGGGGTAAAAATCTATTAGGAGCCAAATAGACCAAAGTGAACATTATAACTCTAGTAATACAAATGAAGAGCCAGGTTCTATTCTAAATTTATAAACATTTCTTGCAACAAAGAAGAGTAATTAAAATATCAAGCAAGAAACCATTACATTAAAGTTGAAATGGAAAAAGATCTGGGAAGAATAATATAAAATTTCTGATTTAAAAAAGCTTCATTTTTTAAATTAATGGTAGATATTATGTTGAATATTTTTAAGACATGTTTTTAAATATGCTAAAAATTATATCCTTATAATTATTTAAGCTCATGATAAAAATTTTATGTCAGTTTAGAAACATTTAAAATGATAGTTTTTCAAAATTTCTTTAGGAGTATGCAATAGAAAATTTGAGGACCATTGTTGGACACAGTGGCCCATGCCTATAATCCCAGCAACTCAGAGGCTAAGGCAGGAGGATTGCAAGTTCAATGCCATCCTGAGCAACTTAGCAAGATGCTGTCTCAAAAAAAATTTTTAAAAGGGGGGGGGGGTGCTAGAAGTATAGCTCAGTGATAAGACTGTCCCTGAGTTCAATCCCCAGTACCACAAAGAACAAACTTTTTAAAAAAAGGACTATTGGTATATCTTCTCAAAAGTTCAGGATACTTTCATGATTTAGACTAATACAAAAAAAAAAATTTACTGGAGATTTTTAAGCTTTCCAGATGTATATGATTGATTTTGAAGTAGTTATCTTTCTTAGACATATCTTCCAGATCTCCTAAAACAGCAAAATATTTCATGACAAACATTTGGTTTTCCTTCGAGTTTTTCTGAAGGTTTTAGACACCCAGCTTAGTTAGATAGGTTGGCATAACTTTTGCAATGCATGAGCCATCAGAACTATTATCTCTAGGAGAAATAACAAACTTTTAAAGTTTGGGAGGAAAGAAAGAAGGTGATGAGTTAACCCTGCTTTTTTTGTAAGCATTAATGTAAGAACAATTTTACTTCTGCAATTTAATATGTTTTTTTCTTAGAAGGGGCCTTGACAATCTGCATCATTTTTTACTTTGCCATGGCATAGTTTTCTGTTCTACAGATATTTCATAATTTATTTACCCTTTGACCTAATAGTGAACATGTAGGTTCATCTGTTGCTCAACATTTTGCTATTCAATGTAATGCTTTAATGAACATGCTTATTATCTTTATACACTTGTGTTATTGTTTTGGGGGGGGCTGATCACTAGGAGTAGAAAGTTTGGGTCAGAAAATTTATTTTTAGTAGATACACAAAATATCCCTCTAAAAATATTGCTATTACAGAATTCTCTCCTCCCATACTTTCTCTTGATGTGTGGATACTGTCAGACTTTTTACTTTTTGCAGTTTCACAACACAACACATGCTTATAGTCCAACCCACAAAAGCAGTCTTTGCTTAAGAGTCACCTTAATGAGACCATTAATTTTCCTATTGAAATAACCTCCTCCACTATATCTGAATCCCTTTAAAATATTTTGTTTTTCAATAGCAGTTACAGTTACATAGCATTCTTTTGCTTCTCTTACCTTACTCCAGGCTGTAAGTTCCAAAAGAGCAAAAGCTTTTGCTTTTTTGTTTTGTTCACTGATTTTAACAAAACATGTGCCTGGCACATGGTAGGCACTCATTTATTGAATTGAATGACCATTGTAGTTGTATGATACACATAATTTCAGCCATCACTGTGATATTTCTCTTTGATCATGTGCCCCTGGTTTTATATACATCTCACATAACCAGTCCTCTCTGAGGAGCAGCCACAATTCCTTCAAATATACTATACCAGAGAAAACACCTATGTTTGGCTGATAGCAGACCACCTGGGAGAAGGAAATAAATGCCTTTTCCTATTCTGGACTCCAAGAGCAGGTCATTATCAAAATAATACAGCCCAGCCAGTGCTAGCCATCCAACTACCATCTTGCTTATTTTAGCCCTTCCCATCCTGCTTCTCTCCTGCCAATGCCTAAGGGGGTCTAGGGAAAAGATTCATCCCTAGTAGAAACCACTTAGGCAAGTGATGGCACTGGATCTTCCCCACACCAGTCCCAACCCACTCCCTGCCAGTCCTTTGGCCCACACCCTTTCCATTAACAATGGCATCTTAGTCAAACCAAGAACTGAGGTTTGGTAGAGCACCAAGTTTCATTGTTTTTTCTTCAGGCCAGATTTTAGATGTGAAAGAGGCATAGAAAACAGGGTAATTTAATTATGAGTTGGAGTTGCTCACTACAAAAAACAATTAAGATTTTAAGTTTTTTTTTTTTTACCATTTTAGTATTTTGGTGACAAATATAAAAACATTTAGCTGGTATTTACTTCACCTTTATCAATATCTGTAATATATCCTTTTTAGTGGCATATCATGTCAGATTTGTACTTATAAATAAGGGCCTAATATTTTCATTGTGATATCTTTACTGAAAAGATTAGGTGTTGTTTTTGATAGCTGTATTCAAAGCTGATCAGGAGTCTTCAGTGTTATTAACTTTCAGCCTAACATAGACCAAAAAAAAAGGTAGTGACCATTAGGTAATACTGAAAGGCCTAAGTAATAAGAAAATTAATATAGAATTGTACATCCTAAGGAAATTGCATACTTACCTCATACAATGAGTTGGTTTATTCCAGGCTTAGGCCCATTTCCCACTTCATCTTCTCTCCCCGACAATAGTATAAAGTTTGATGAAAAAGTTCATGAAAGCAAATAGAGGCTCCTCAGGAACTTAGACATTTCAGAATAATTATTTGAACAAGAGATGAGAAAAAACTTGGAGGATGGAGAGTAGGAAGCTTTTATTAGGCATGTCAAGGTAGTGGAGCAGGAATGACAAAAGACCAGAAGCAGTTCACTTGATTATAATTTACAGTGGGTGGAAAAGACTGGCATCAAGCCAGCATCGCCACTTCATAAATAATAAATCTTTCTCCTGTAGTGGTGATGTTGTGAAAGATGTATGGTAAGATTACATCACTATGGTGAAACATCACTAAAAGGGTGGGACTGTCTGGAAAAGCATCTGTATTTGGAAAGGGATCTTTCTACAACTTTTCCAGAACACCTTGAATATAAGCTAGGATGTAACATTTGGAGCAAATGTTATTGGCCACACTTAGCATGTATGCTGGATATTCATAACTATATTCAGGCTGGTCCTTGAGCGCATCTAGTATGCCTATATTAGAAGAGTAAACTGAACACACTCACTTCTGTTTAGAAGCCAAATTACTGTGTTGCTCCCTTAAAAGATTGTACCTGTGTATGCAGTAACATCATTAGGATGCTTTTCATTTGTAGGTGGTTTAGAAGTAGAAACCAGCTGTTAACTACTAGGAAAAGTGGGAATGTTAGGAAATGTTCACCTACTACTTCCTTTCCTACCTACCTGCCTGATTCATGTATTTTCCATTACTAGTAATGTTTTTTTTGTATCTTTCTCCATTCAGGGAAAGACTATCATTAAATCAAGATGGCTGCATGTAAATGTCTTTTTCTCAGCTGTTTATTAATCATCTTAATCTAAAAAACAAAGCTCTACCAATGTTTCCCTACCAAGGGAAAATTTCAACTATTCATCCTTCCAATTAACACCACCACTGACTAATAAAAACTGACAAGACTTAGATGCTTCTATAAACTAACCTTGTTTGAATTAAAAGAATCACAGAAAATAGAGACATTATGTAAGGATAGGGAAGTCCACATTCTACAGAAATTGTGATTTTACTCTTTAAACTAAAATGGAAATGTCTCAAGTAATATACTGGAATATATTTTTGAGTACTATTAATAATTGATTTCTCATTGAAGGAAAAAAACGTACTGTATCCAACAATTCAAATATGGCCGAACTGAAGTCAATGTTTCGGGAAGTTCTTCCAAAACAAGGTATCTGCATCAGTTACTTAGGTCATTATTATAGAGACTTAGAAAGTGATAGTCATTGTCACATAGCAGTGTTAATATTCTAAACACCTACCAATTATTGTGTTCTTTATATCTCGTTTACTATCCCCTTTACTGTATACTCTGAGTAGGTTATACAGGAATTCACTTTTCCCAGTAAAAGAAAAAAAATGCAGATTCTTATACTTAGAAATATGAAATTTTTCAGTGGAAGTAATAACTTAATGGAATTCACATAAGGTCTGCAAGTGGGGGGAAAAAAAACCTAAATCAAGCAATAGTAAGAAAAGTTTAAGGTTGAAGTTAAAAATGCAGCAATTTGAATATTTAAATTAATATCATACTTTGGTACATTTTTTTTCATTGTGTATATATTCTCCCAAATTGTATTTCAAATTAAACATCTGACACAAAAAGGTTATGTTTTATGGTAACTTAGAACCTTGCATACAAAGTTCAAAACTTGTCTTCCTTCACACGCCAATATTAAGAAATGATACTTATAGAATAGACTGATCTTTCTGGTTACAAGCAAAACACAGTCTAAGATTAGGGGTTTTTCAGTGACAGGTTTTTAGATCTTTATTCTAGCTGCTAATCCAAACCACCTAACACCTGGATTATCTTCCTCAAAATTAATTCTTATTTCTTGTTAAATTTAGGGCAGTTGTCTGTAGAAGATGTAACCACAATGGTGCTGTGTAAACCCAAACTTTTACCCTTAAAATCTCTGACTCTGGAAAAACTGGAAAAAATGCAGCAAGCAGCACAAGATA